ATAGAATGACTAAAATAACCCTATTTACATATTGTAACAGGACCCTTCAAATGATTGTAGCGTAGATTAAGAATTTTTAAGGATAGCAAATGTCCAAGCTCTGGTGGTATTTCACCACTAATGTAGTTGTAACTTAGATCTAATTCATTAAGATTTTGCAGGAACAACAGTTCACGAGGAATGGAGCCTTGAATGTTGTTGCTATAGATGGTTAGGGACTCTAATTTGATAAGATTTCCCAGTGAAGGAGGTATCTCCCCTTGAAGATAATTGTAGGACAAATCAAGATGAGTGAGTTTTCTGAGATTACCAATTTCAGGTGGGATGGTTCCATATAGTCCACTTCCCGTGACCTTTATGCTTTCTAAATTCTTGAAAGCAGAAAAGTCTAGTGTTGCTAAATTCCCTGATGAAACATATGGATCTATGATTGCAGTTATGCTTCCATCCTCGTTGCAAGTTATACCAACCCATGTACAAATAGAGGAGTAGGCATCTATCTTGGATAGATCCCACCATCCACTGTTAAGTATAGCATTTGCTTCTGATGGAGACAGCAATGGTGTTGGTGCCGGTGCAGGTGCAACTCCTGACTCCAATACAATCCCCATAATAAGCATACCATAAATAACAAGAAAGTTGGTCCCATACAAATTGGAAACAAAAAGCAGCATCCTCTCCTTTGCACACCAAAATATTTCAACTGGCTTCAGTTATGAACTAACTAGTTAATTGGTAATAATAAAATATTAGAGAGATGAAATGTTTGTTTCTGAGATTTAACAGAAACTGAACTTTTATAATGTTCTGTGGCTAGCATGATAGTTGGTATCTCTTTTATTCTCACACCCACCTTGACTACAACAGCCATTGAAAATTGAATGCAAGCATTTCTTGGAGGCTGCCTTTACTTAACTTTTATTATGATAAACCGAATCTTAACTTTTATTATGTTGTGTAAGTAACGTGCTAATTCAGTTGGTCAATGGTCACTACCCCATATTTACTACAACAGCCATAAACAGAATTTCACAATGATTTGCCCCATTGACGCGCATTTGTTAAGGCCTAAAGGTATTGGTTGATTCTGAGTCAACGTTGCAGAATTGATGCTAAGACTAACGTTCCATGAATACAAATAGGAATGTTTAAAAATGTTGTCCCTGACCAAGTCCCACAGGGCCAACCCAAGTTTAGAACCCAAGAGAAATCACAAGGAATTGCTACATGGAGTCTAGTAACATAAAATAACAAAAGTCACTAAATAGTAGTTAAGAAGAAACTAGCTTATCTCATTACACTTTCTTTGTGTTACTTCAATTGATCGGTTGCTATGGTGGATTTGCTCGACGCATTGAACATATTGGTATATAACAAATGTTTTGCAGTTCGTTAGGCATCATGTTGCTCCTTTCATTATCATCCATCTATACGTGAGAGCAGTAATGGTGCATGAAGTCTGTATATGATTTAACTATGAATAATATTAAATTTTATAAATTAATATATCAAATTAAAACAATCCTATCTCATATTGTTCGTTCTCTTGCTTTGATCAAGTTAAATACGAGTCCTAATAAATAGTTCGAGTAAAAATATAATTTGAAACCTGTATAAACGCATCATATCCACACTCCAAGACTGAACCATTGCATTCCACTTGATATATATGGATTATTTACTATTTAAACTCCACTCTGACACGATTTCATCCTTAATTAAAACATTCCCACCTCACTGATGACATTATCTTCACCATAAAATAAAAAATTATCAGACTTCTAATTACTAATATCGAACTATATATGTTTTCATCTACATTAATAGGTACTAACTAAATATAAGGAATAAGGAATTAAGGATCTGGCGATAGGAAAGGGAACTTAATGATGACAGTGCGCTGACATAACAATGATCAGGTTAATTTCATCCTTATTATTTTCATCAGAACATGAAAAACAGAGAAAACAGAGGTGAATAACTAAAACAAAACATAGAGGTTCTCATATATTTGAATATTAAAACTGAATAATCCCTAATTGGGTAAAACAAATAATAAAATATGACTAAGTTAACAAACAAATATTACTTGACTGCACAACTTACTTTTTCTGAACATAAACAACCTTTAACCAAACTTACAAGCAAAATTAAAAATTACGGAGACTTTAAAATATTTAATTCTGACATAGGAAAAATCTCAATCGCCAATACTCCTCCTTGAGATTTTTCTTCATCACTTCAAGCTTTGATTTTTATTATCTTTTACACTTCTTTGTTGGATCTCCTTCAAGTAGATAAGCATCCACAAATTTAACATTTGTGAGCTTAACATTAATTTTCTCATTTGAAATAAGAATCCTTGTAATTTTCTTAATCCACTTTCCATCTTGAATAACCTTTTCATGAGAGTTACAACAACATTATCAACATTGTTCTTCACAAAACTTCCCGTTGAATTGATAAGAAGTATTACAATAATTCCAATTAAATTTTCCCAATTAAAAAATTTTATTTACTCCATTGGCCAAAGCTATAACCATGATTGATACAGCTTCCATGACCCATAAAAAATGTTTCTCCATAATCCTTAAAAGCTTTGAAACCTCATTTTCTTTCTTCTCTTCAAACTTGTTGTTTCCAAAGGTCACCTTATCATGAGTAACTTATATTATGAGCCCATTTGAATCACATTTTAGAGTTCAAAATGCCTCTTCAAGTAACCTATTTTTCAAATCTTCGTCTTTATTTAATGGACAGTCATACCCGAAATGATAAAAAATGGAGCATCCCATATTTTTAAAACACAAAAAATAATTATTTTTAAGCATTTGTCCCACACTCAAAAGGTTTTGATTTATTTCAGAAACAAATAAAACATCTTAAATATATTTTATATCCGAAGGAGTTTCACTAGCAACAACTCCTTTACTTTTGACATCAATACTTTCTTCATTGCCTATGGTGATTTAGGAGATTTAGGACTGATTTAATTCCTTAAAAATTGCAGTATCATGAGTCATATGATTTATGCATTCACTGTCTATGAGCCATTTCTCTTTTCTTTTGCTCGTTGAATAAGACGTAGTAGTAAATAGATATTTCTCATGTTGCTCTTCATGCTCCACAATTTGGGCTTGATGTTCATGTGGGTTTGTTTTATTTTTACAAACTTTCTCCATATGACCAAACGCTAAACCAAATATATCATCATGTAATGTTGCCTGTATAGTGACAAGAGCTCTTCCTTCTCTTGTCACTTCATCATTGTGACTCCTCATTTGAGCTATTATTGGGTTTTTTGGTGATAGAGGTGGATTACTTCCATTTTCCACTATAACCCACAAACTTTGAGTTCTTAAATAAGTCCTCATTTTTGTAGCCCACAAGTGATAGTTTTCACTTACAAATATAGGAGGTGGAGGTAAAGAACCACTACCGTAAGCCATTTTTGTGTGGTTTTCTTAATTGGTTCTCTCTCTTTTTTTCACTCTCAATGACCCTTAAAGATCAATGAAACTCTTGATATCATGTTGAAAACAGAACATGAAAAACAAAGATGTATGACTAAAACAAAATATAGAGGTTTAGATTAGAAAATCTTTAACTTCACACAAAAAAAGGGACAAAAACTAATATGATATATTTAAGTTATGAACTCATATTTACATACTTTGTAAGTGTTTATAACAAGTACTTAAATACTAAAACTAACTAAACCCTGATTAGGTAAAACAAATAACAAAATATGACTAAGCTAACAAGCAAACACAATTTACCTACACAACTTACTTTTTCTTAACATAAGCAACTTTTAACTAAATTTACAAGTAAAATAGAAAACTACATAGACTTAAAAATATTTAATTATGACAATGAAAAAATCTCAACTGCCAACATTACAAACATAGCCAATTTCTTTCCTCTCAGTCAAATCTTCCCATTCTCACTACTACAAAATCACTGAGACACAACCTTTCTTGCTTCTGTACCTCATTCCGGATTTTCATTAAACTACAAATTAAACACACAAGAAAAATCGTAGTAACTGAATTTTACTTTTTATCGTATATATTTGCCCATATTGTGAAAAAATTATAATTTAACAAGTATTATAAACCATACTAATCAAATAACCAACACTACTTTAACATAAAAACAGAGTTTCGTGAAGTTTTCTAACAATAGGCCCGAATAACAACTACAAAATCTTTATTGAATGCTGATATCGTCTAACTTCAAATACAGGTTTCACTTTCAGTAGTTCACAATTTTAAATAGTGCCTGAGTTCTTGACTCATGAGCTGCTGCAATGAAATTTCACGCAAGGGAATGCTTAATGGTATGAGTTGAGTAAGAAAACATTGAGAAACACATTTCATTGTTGGGCGAGAGGAAGGATTGGGATTTAAACATGCAAATGCAACAATGGCAAGATGAACTATGTCTAGTAAAACTGACATTGTTGGCTGTGAGAGGCGTTGGTCTAATACTTCACATAATGTGATGCCATGATCATTAGAAGCTGAGTCAAGTGACAACAGAATTTCTTTAGGATGCCTTCCCACCAATATTTCAAGGGCCACCACTCCGAAGCTATACACATCACACTTTTCACTCACAACCATACTATATGCAAGCTCTGCATTTATAACATCAACAAGGAAATATTCAAAGATCAAAAGGAAAACAATAGAAAAATAACAACATTAAAATATACTATTTGTATAAACTCAAGTATTATAAACTAGTTCATCTGCCTGTTATATGTACGGATTAGGCATGCTCTCGATCAAAACATATAAACTAAAGGACACAGGTAAATCGCAAAGGAACCAAAAAAAGAAGACTAAAAAGAAAGATAAGAACAATTACCTGGAGCTATATATCCGATGGTTCCAGCAACTATAGTTCTATTGGATGAATCAAGGCTAAGGAATCGGGCTGTGCCAAAGTCACCAACACTGGGCTCCCACTTTGAGTTAATTAAGACATTGCTGGCTGATATGTCTCTATGCACTACTGGAGGAGTGCAGTCATGATGAAGATATGACAGAGCATGTGCAGTGCCTTTCATTATGTTAACCCTCTTTTTCCAATCCAATTCCATTGCTTCCACATCATCATAAAGGACAGAAAACAAGCTTCCTTTCTCCATGTACTCATAGATCAAAAACATGATTTTTTTGTGCAAACAGAATCCGTAAAGCTTCACCACATGTCGGTGCTTTATTTCCGATAATACTTTGACTTCATTTTTGAAACTCTCATCAAAAGCTGGTATCTCTGCTTCAAAGCCATGAAGTTTTTTTAGGGCAACAATCTTGCCACTTGATAATTGTGCCTTATAAACACTCCCATAGGCACCTGTTCCAATACAATATTTCATGTCAAAGTCTTCTGTTACTCTGATGATGTCTTCATAGGCTATGCTTCCATCAAAGTTCCATATACAAAACAAGTCCACATTCTTAGTCATCGTTGTCTTTGCATGTTTGTTGTTAATTGGAACTCGAATAAATCTTAGATACACAAGTAGTAAAAGGGCCATGATTAGAAGAATGGGGACAAAAATAATTATGACAAGTTTGAGCCTTACTTTGTTGCCACGGGCCATGATTACTTTGTTGCCGCGAGTTGAACAAGGCTGGAATTGGAATTTGGTTTGGATATCCAAAATGTCACTACATATGCCCTTGTTACCTACTAGTGCATCAGGAGGGACACCATCTGGAATGAGACCCTTCAAATAATTATAGGAAATGTCCACATGAATGACATATTGCAGAGATTGAGGAACCGTTCCGGTAAGATTATTATAGCTTAGATTCAGTCCTTTTAATGCTGGCAAGTCTGCAAGCTCTGTTGGTATTTCACCACTAATGAGGTTGCGACTGAGGTAAATAATGATAAGTTGTGCTGGGCTTCCACCTAACAATAAGGGATTTAGGGAACCACTGAGTTGATTGTGGGAAATGTCAAGCATTTCTAATTTTGTGAGTTTTGCAAGTGAAGTGGGCAAGGTCCCACTGATTCTGTTGTGTGATAGATTTAAAGAAGTAAGACTCTTTAGCAACACCAACTCACGAGGAATGGAACCTTGAATGTCGTTGTTAGAGATGATTAGCCTCTCTAATTGGGTAAGGTTTCCCATTGAAGGAGGTATCTCACCATCAAGAGAATTGTAAGACAAATCAATATAAGTGAGTTGGTGACTGAGGTTGTGACTAGTTAGCTGTGCATGGCTCCCGACTAACAAGGATTTTAGAGAACCAACAAGTAGATTGTGAGATATGTCAAGAAATTGTAATTTTGTAAGATTTATGAGTGAAATGGGCAAGGTCCCATTGATTCTGTTATGAGAAATATCTAAGACAGTAAGATTTTTCAGGAACATCATTCCACGGGGAATGGTGCCTTGAATCTCGTTGTTAGAGATGAGTAGTCTCTCTAATCGGGTAAGATTTGTCAGTGAGATGGGCAAGCTCCCATTGATTTTGTTGAAAGATAAATCTAAGTCATTGAGATTTTTCAGGAACTCCAGTTCACGAGGAATGGAAGTTTGAATCTGGTTGTTAGAGATGATTAGGCTCTCTAATCGGGTAAGATTTGTCAGTGAAATGGGCAAGTTCCCATAGATTCTGTTGTGAGATAGATCTAAGACAGTAAGATTTTTCAGGAACACCACTTCACGAGGAATGAAACCTTCGATTTTGTTGTAAGAGATGGCTAGGCTCTCTAATTGGGTAAGATTTCCAAGTGAAGGAGGTATCTTACCATAAAAAGCATTGCCAGAAAAGTCGAGATGGGTGAGTCTAGGAAGATTTCCAATTTCGGATTGGATATGCAAGCTCTGGTGGTAATTAGGGATGATAGAGGTTAGGGAACCACTGAGGAGATTCCAAGAAATGTCAAGCTCTTCTAGTTTTGTGAGATTTGTAAGTGAAATGGGCAATGTCCCATTGATTTGATTGAGAGATAGATCCAATACAGCAAGATTTTTCAGCAAAAACAATTCTTGAGGAATGGATCCTTGAATGTTGGTGTCAAAGATGATTAGACTCTCTAATTGGGTAAGATTTCCCAGTGAATGAGGTATCTCACCGTGAAGAGAATTGGAGGACAATTGAAGATGAGTGAGTTTGGGGAGATTACCAATTTCAGGTGGAATAGTCCCTGTTAGTCTACAGTTGACAACCTCTAGCCTTTCCAAATTCATGAAAACAGATAGGTTTAGTGTTGCAAATTGAATCCCTGCATCATAACACGGATATCCGATTCTAGTTACACTTCCAGCTTTGTTGCAAACGATACCCTCCCACGAACAGATATTCTTTGGATTTGACTTCGACCCATTCCACCATCTACTATTGATTATAGCATTTGATTCCAATTGAAGCTGCAGTGGTGCAGATCCAGCTTCTATCTCCAATACAATCCCCATAATAACCATACCACACATGACAAAAGTGGGGCCATGGAAATTAGAAACAAAAAACTGCATCGTATCCTTTGCATACCAAAATATTTATACTGAGCTATATATGAGCTTCTGAGATTTATCAGAAACTAAACTTTTATTATGTTCTGGGAGGACTACCATAGTTGGTCACTCTTTTATTCTAACTCCCCAGCTAGACTATCTTAGAATAGTAGATTAAGTCTAACTCAATCTTACAAAATCGACTAGTAAGGTGAGAGTTACTTTTCACTTATATACTATTTAATTGCCTAATCTCTAGTCGACGTGGGACTTGGGTTTTTCTCAATACACCCCCCTCACATCCAGCATTATTGGACTTGGTACGTGGATAAATGGTAGGTGGTCCTTTTTAATGTCTAGGATTGGCGAGACTTGAATACACCCCCATGCCCATGGTGCATGTATCAATGAATGGTGGGTGACCCATTTTTAAGAATCTAGAATAGCTCTGATAGCATCTTAGAATAGTAGATTAAGCCTAACTCAACCCTACAAAATCGGTTTGTAAGGTGAGGGTTGCCTTATCCTATTGCACAATATATTAGTTATGATAATTTTTCCTCATCACACAAGGCTTTTCTTTCTGCCATCATATCTCATGATGAGCCTAGAAATTTTTCTCAAGCTGTAAAGCATCCAGAATGGCATGAGGCCATGGCTCAAGAAATACAAGCACTAGAAGCAAACCAGACTTGGACTTTGGAAGCACTTCCACAAGGCAAGAAGCTGGTTGGATGTAAATGGGTATATAAAATTAAGTATAAGGCAAACGATGAGATAGATAAATATAAAGCACACCTCATTGCTAAAGGATACACTCAAGTTGAGGGTGAGGACTTTACAAAGACTTTCACTCCAGTTGCAAAAATGAAAACAGTGCGTTGTTTATTAACAGTAGTAGCAACCAAAGGTTGGCAACTACATCAAATGGATGTTAGCAATGCATTCCTTCATGGGGAGTAATATGAAGAAGTCTATATGGCAATTCCTCCCAGATATGCAGTCACCAATACCAAACATGTGTGTCGCTTAAGGAAGTCCATATACGGATTAAAACAAGCATCAAGGAGTTGGTATACAAAATTGTCACGGGCATTGATACGGTATGGTTTCCAACAATGTCATTCTGATCATAGCCTGTTCACATACATTTCTGGGAATGTTTTTCTTGCCACACTGGTTTACGTGGATGACTTAATCATTGCTAGCAATGATCTTGGTACATGTGCTAGTTTCAAAGACTATCTCAGTAAATGCTTGCACATGAAAGATCTTGGGAAACTTAAATATTTCCTTGGCCTTGAGCTCTCATATGGAAACACATGTTTATTTTTATGCCACATTGGGAGGCAGCAACATGCATTCTTCGTTACTTGAAATCATCACCAGGACAAGGTATCATGATACTCGTCAACAATAATTTGCAGCTCGAAGATTTTTGTGATTCGGATTGGGCCTCTTGTCCCACTACAAGGCGGTCCATTTCTGGTTATATTGTCAAGCTAGGCTCAGTACCCATATCATGGAAAACGAAGAAACAAACTACTATTTCAAGATCCTCCAGTGAGGCTGAATATAGGGCAATGGCACATGCTACTAGTGAAATTATTTGGTTAAGAGGTTTGTTACGTGAACTTCAAGTTCCTTGTCAAGGTCCCACAACATTGTTTTGTGATAATCAGTCTGCGATTCACATAGCAGCAAATCCAGTTTTTCATGAGAGGACTAAGCACATTGAGATTGATTGTCATTTTATTAGAGAACATATACAAGCTGATACAATTGTTGCAACTTACTTGCCCACAAGGCAACAACTTGCAGATATATTCACAAAGGCATTAGGATGCAAACTTTTTCATGAACTATTATCCAAGTTGGGAGTTCATGATCTTCACTCTCCAACTTGAGGAGGGATAATGGAGATATTATCATTAGTTTGTTATCAGTTTGATTATATCATTAGTTTGTTATGTTTAGATTAGTTTGATATTATCTATATTTTGAATTTATATTTTAATTCTTCTGTACTCTTTTTTGGATAAGATAATTCAAAGTGGTTACAACTTTGTTACTACTACCATGTTTTTATATTGATTATTATTCATGAATGAATGAGAAGTTCCTCATTTATAAACTTATCAGACTGCAACAGCCATAACATAACATTAAATTCAACTCTTTGCCCCATTGACTGCTATTGTCATTGTCACGGCATTGGTTGACTTGATCAACTTTGGCAAATTGAATGCATGCATTAATTTTTCCGCCGTCTGCTTTGACTAACGCGTTTCATTTTAGAAATTTTTGTCACTGATGATGATGTTTCGGAGGGGCCACAAGAAGTTTAGAGATCATAAGGAGTTTCAAGGAAACAACGAACCAGAAGATTGCTTACATTTATTATACTTTTTTGTTAAGTTTGGACCATGTTGTGTGAGTCGGAGATTTTTTCACGGTTTCTTTCTAAATGTATATAAGCAGTAGAGGAGGGAAGAGAGAAGAGAATAAAAGTTATGGAGAGAAAATTATGAATACTGAACTCAATTGAATGATTCTATATGATAGTCACGATACATAGTAACTGTTGTTACATGGTTACTAGTAACAGAAAACAAAAAGATAACTAACAGTAGTTCAGAAACTAACTCATCCATTTACACTTTCTGTGTTTTCGATTGATTGGTTGCTGTGTATATGATCGACCGTTGAAAATATTGATAGCAGAAGAACAAGAAGGGTGGTTTAATGGCTTAACAGTAGTAGTAATTATTGTATTTGGTTTGTTCTGTTCGCCAGTTTTGGAACATGAACATGTTCCCTTACTCCCAGTTTGTTGAAATTGCCCTTGAAGACACATTGTTGGAGAATGGGTTTGAGCAAAGGTGAGGATGGAATTCTTAGAGCGGTAGATTTCTATTTATTTATAATTTTTATATAGTTAATTTGGGGGAAAAAATATGTTGTTGAAAAATCTAGCCTCAACAATACCAGTTGCTATTGTCTCCTCAACAATAAATTTATTGTTTGTTTATTAATTTATAATGCATTATTTTTCCTAACTCATGTATCGTTGATTTATTATAAATAATATATATCATTACATGTTAATATATCATATATTTATGTTTAAAAATTAAAGATTAGGCTTAAATATATTTAAACTAACTACCTCAAATTAACTCGATTTTCAAATTACTACTTTAAAATTTTTTTTTTAAATTACCTGACTAATATATATTTTTTTGGCTAAATACTTATTTTGGTCCCTTATAATCTTTTTTTGTTTCAATGTAGTCCCTCATTAATTTTTTGTTTCAATTTGGTCTTAAACTAATTAATTAGTTTCAATTTAGTCCCAAATTAATTAATTGGTTTCAATGTGAGACTTCCATCCAAATTATTTAAACGGAATTAAATTTTGGTCACGTGGATGCATACGTGGATGCCACGTGGATGAAAATTTTGTTGAAAACACCTGGACCCAGAACGGCCCATTCTGAAATCGGAACGGGCCGTTCTGGTTGCACTTTTGGTGTGTTAATTTTGCATCCGGAACGGCCCGTTCCAGGTGCAACATTAACACACTAAGAGTGCAACCAGAACGGCCC